AAAAAAAAAAAAACACAGAAACAAAAACAGAAAATTATAAGCAGCAGCATCATCACCAAGACAACTAATATCAAGCATCGTCAAAGAGAAGAAGGAAGAAATTGAATTACAATCTATGGTCAACCTGTTCTGAGATCTTTTGATGTGGAAAAACTAAGAACAGTGGAGTCCTTTTATAGGTGTGGAGAAGGGTCGTGCATCCTGAAAACTTGTAGGAAACGGAGTTCGGGTTGAGAAAGAATTCAATGTCCTACTAGAACTTGGATTATAGAAGTCAAAAACAGACGGGTTCTATCTGTTGCATGCTATCGTGATAAGCTTCCAGAAGGACTCAGAAGTTTAAGTTGACTCTAATTCCTAAAGCATCTATTTTTCTGTAGAGGAAAAGAGTCATATTGTTGATGGACTCCTATATTAAGTTGAGTTTGGAATAATAAGAGGGCCCCACTCATGTATTCTGGGCTAGTTTCGTGACTTATATTAGATGAAATAATAAGATTTGTCATCTATGGCTCATAGTCACACATGGGTTAAAAATGGAGACTATAAATGTAGGACATAAACATATGTTTTGTTTATGTGGGCCATGCAACAAGTATATGATGTCAAAAGAAATCAATTGGGTCCATTTGAGGTTTATGCCGGACCATTTGAAGTTAATAAGTCCAAGTTGGTAACATTGGATTAATCATAAGCCCATAAATTTGCATCATCACTCTAGGCCCGACTGATGTCGTGACTTATTCACTCCAAGACACGTCGTCCGTGAACAAGTCTCGAGGGGGCATTTGTAGACAATCAAATTTTGAGCCAATAAAATGGCGACAAGTGTGAAATTTCATGTCAAAATTAATTTAATAATTTTCTATTTTATTTGAGAAATTAATCAAATTTAATTTCTAAATTAAATAGTTAATTAATTGATTATTTAATATACACTGTTGGCCAATTAAAGAATGCCACATGTATATTTTGAAGGCCAATTAAAGAATGCCACATGTCATTTTCTTGGAGAGTTAAATAAATAATTATTTCTTTAATAATTATTAAAGAGATAAATAAGTAGAAATTCATGGACCAATCAGATTGAACTCTTCTTTTCCAAGACTCTCTCTCCTAATTATCTCTTTAAATAATTATTAAGAGATAAATATTGGAAATTATGGACCAATAAAATTGGAGTCTTCTTTTCCAAGACTCTCTCTCTCAACACCTATAAATAGGGACCCTCCTTAAGGTGAAAAATCACAATTCATATTCAAGTCCACAAGTCATATTCAAGTTCAAGAGCTCTAGAGAATTCTCTCCACAAGATTTAAGTGTTCTTGAAGATCCAAAGGCGTTCTTGAAGATTCGAAGAAAGATTCAAGCACGTTCAAGCCCAAAACCGACGTTCAATCCGGAAACAAGTTGTCAAGCCTCCGAAATGCGTTATTAAAGTTCAAGTGTTTTGAAGATTCAAAGGCGTTCTTGAAGACCCGAAGGAAGATTCAAGCGCATTCAAGCCCAAAACCGACGTTTAATCCAGAAACAAGCTGTCAAGCCTCCGTATTACGTTATTCAAGTCGAGACCGGCGTAGAGAAGATCAAAATCAACTTTGCGGCGAAGACCAAGGATTCGTGTTCTTCACGTTCTTGGAAAATCACGACTTTCGATTCGAGATCAAGCTATCAAGCCCTCGAAGAAACGTTATTTAAATCTATATTCAAGACTGACGGAGATCAAACTGAAGATTAGTCTCCAAAAGTCTCAAGTCTATTTGAAGATCGCTATTGAAGAAATTAATCAGAGGAATAATAGAAATTTGTAATCCACTATATTTCTTTTGATCCGTTGAAAATCTATTTGTACGAAGTTCTCGTGTTTATTAATTCAATAATACGAAATTTTGCGTTACAGGCGCATTCCCATTGACACTGTGATGCAGGCGAGAGGGTTCTCCTTCCCCTCCCGTTGCCATTGTTGTTCTGAGACCGGTACTTTTGAGAGCGAGACTTTCACCCATCTTTTCTTTGAGAGTGAGATTGTGAGGAGAGTGTGGGAGCACTATGCCAGATATACTCATATACCCCTACCCACTACAGACAGTGTTTTTGAGCTACTGAGTTTTTTCTCACATCGCACACACAGTAGACACGTGAGCTTCCTTATTCCTTGTATGATCCTATGGGCCACCTGGACAGAGAGTAATAACGCGAAGCATAGGGATATTATATTTTCTTGTGCTCACATTATTTTGCAGGTTGACAGACACCTCTCTCCTCACCGCTCTGGGTAGACTCACGACGAGACCGTTGTTTGGCTGAAACCCAAAACCCCTTGGGTTAAGCAAAACACTGATGGAGCATTCGACAGACATACCGGAGCTGCTGGAGGAGGGGGCCTGATTAGGGATCACGGTGGGGCACTCATCTCTGCCTTCCATGGGCCACTCCGGGCCTCCTCGAGTTATGACGCAGAGATTCAGGCGCTCTAGGTTGGTCTTGAGATTGCTGCCTCGATCTCCTCCCATATCTGGATAGAGATGGATGTTGCAGCTGTCATCACACTTTTGACATCTGGCCACCAGGGCTCATGGCAGGTCCAGCATCCCCTTATGCGCATCAGAGACACACTCCGCTCGATTCATTACCAGGTCTCACACATATTCTGAGAGGGAAATCGGCCCGTTGATTTCTTTGCTAGCAGGGGGGCTTCTATACCCTTGAGACGCATCCTTCATCCTGAAGACCCCTCCGACTTCGGACACTCATTTGGATGGACCAGCTAGAGTACTCATCCTTCAGATTCGGACGACCGCCACTACCTGACCCTGACTAGCCTTGTCTTTTTGGACCTCATGCTTGGTCACTCTAATCAGGACGACTTTTATGAGGATTTGATTTTAGACCCGCATCGGATATTTTGTGATCCTTGTACTTTTTGTTTTTCTTTTTTGATGTTGTTATATGTACCTTCGACATTGATGTAGACCATTGACTTTTTAGCCCTCTCTGGGCATTTATATTCACAGGTCGAGAGTGTAGTCTCAAGCCCCCATCCCACACCGGGATGTTTATATATATATATATATAAATGAAACAAGTTCTAGTGAAGTTATCTTTAAAAAAAAACTACAGAATTGAGGAGGAGAAAGAAAATACTACTATTTGTCTAATATTTAGGAGAGTTGAGAGATGTAGAATGACAAATTAACTACTTTCTTCAAACACGTAATTTTATTTTTTCAGCTACAATGACAAGTAATTTGAAACAGAGAGAGTAATAAGTAGGAACCTCAAGATTATCTATTTTTGTAAAATTAACTAGTTGAACCTCATTTAGGGGTTTAGCTTGTCAAATCCACTAACTTAGCTTGTTTGGTAAATGCTTTAACTGATTAGTTTTTTAACCACAAACACCAATTTGAAAACAAAAAACTCAATATAAGAACGTTTTTAGAATAGGGAATTCATAAATTAACGTGTCAACATAAAACTTTAAAGATAGCTATACCAATTGCTATGTACCAAATAGTTATTTATAAACGCTAATAAAACTCACTAGTCAAATCATGTGCTGCAATTCGCTATTAACTAATAGAATTATCGCCATTAATTGAGTTCCAAGGTATGGTAGAACAAAAAATTGTTATTTACCAAATACCTATTTATAAACAGCTAATAAAACTTGCTAGT